AGTCCAATATTGACACCCCTAGCTTTATTCTAAAGGTCATACATTAAAATAAAATATGAATAAATTTCAGCATTATGCTTTGAAGTTCAATTTTTTTTTTTAAAAAACTTTGAATATTAAAAAGAAAATTTATATTCACTATAGTTTATTTGTTATATATTATTATTAATTTAAAGATGATTTGGATTCACACCACCAAATAAATAAAAAATATATGCATATTTACAACTAATCCACCCATATTTTTAAACTATTAAGTCAAGTGATCATTTTATAATCTTAAAAACTAATATAGGAAGGGCAACTAGGGGTGTAAACAAGTCTAGTCGAGGTCTAGTCAGCTCTGATTTGAGCTTGAGCTTGATTAATTAAACAAGTTTGAGCTCGAGCTCGAGCTTTATTCTAAGAGTTCAAGTCGACTCGTTTATAATGAAAGAAAGAAAATAATTATAATTCAAATAATTATTACATTATTATGATAAAATAAATGAGAATTTAAAAGTAAAATAATAAAGAATCACTTAATATAAAAAAGTAAGATATATTTTTTAAATATTTTTTTACAATATTGTACTTAAAGTTATGAACACTAATATATTTTAAGTGTAATTAATATTAATATATTTTAAATAAGCCGGCTCACGAGCTTACGAGTCGAGTCAGGCCTTGCTCAAGTTTTGCTCGTTAGCTCGTCGAGCTTACATGGCTCACAAGCCATTTATCCAGCCATGCTCGAGCCGGCTTGAGAGTCAGCTTGTCTCACTTACTCCAAAATTTTAAATATCATGAAATATAGCAGCAATATTTTTTTACCCATGCATGAATGCATATACATAAATATTTTTATATGTTATTGTTGAATCCACATGTCTCCTAGATTTTATATTTTTATATGTTCTTGTTGAATACATAATTTTATAGAGTTTTGATGGGCTATTAATGTGCCTTTGTTTATATGATTTGCCAACATCACCTACATCAAAAGATCATGAATTGCATTGTGGGTGATTTATGATGCATAGACACGACGACACGAATACATCATGATACAAACACAGACAAATCAGTTAATTAAAATATAGGAAACGGATTGGATAAAATATTATAATTTTTACATCTTAAAAATAGTGTGCATATATTAAATAAGTAGAATAATAAAGATAATTGAGAAGTTATAAGTCATTTAACTAAAATATATGCTTAACATAATTAATATTAGGATGTTAAAATCGGGCATGAATATTGTGTTAGGCATATGAGAGAGGAGACGACAATGCTGTTGAAATCAATCATCAATGTTATAGGATGGGCATTGGGCATCCATGACGTGACAACGTCCGCCCTCGATGCTAATGAGATGATGTCGGTCGTCGATGCTGAGATGACGTTGGACAAATATGAGATTTTGAGACAGTTTGGGGCATAATTATATGTGTATAGAAAACTGAAATCAAACTTCAATGTTGAGATGATTTTAAAATATTGATGTTGTGACGACATCAAACAAATGATATCATGCATTGTTGTGAAACTTTAGTAGTAACCCGCAAGAGAGAAATGAAAATGAGAATGTCGATGAATGAGATATTGAGTACGAGAGATTGATTTTGGGCTGTAAAGAGCAAATAAGGCAGACACGCGTGTAATTTTATTTTTAATATATATTTTTAATTGGACACGTCATGTGTCGTGTTCAATACATATTGAACACTGCATACATCTTTAAGGAAAAAGATCGATGCATCATAGTATGTGTTGTGTAATGGTCCGATTTTAGAATAAGTTGATTCTCAATGCCTATAAATAGCATTGCAGTTAATGTAAGAATATATAGCCTCCTTGTAATAGCTCACATTGAATAAAGGAAAAGGTTTTTAATATTCCTATGTAATTAAGTTCTCCCTCTCTTAATCAGAGGATTAATTGTAAAACTAAAATTTAAAACTTTAATGAACAAAACTAATCAGCACCCACCTAACATAATAATTTCTCTTTCATATAATGCATTGCAATCATTGCACATATCAGCATGAAGAGTTCTGATAGCTGCAGAAAGAAAGAAACACCGCACAGGCTCACTGGTTTTTCCTTTGATCCTTGATGATCTGGCGGATCAGCTACGTGGCTAATTGAGATACGAGTGTGCTTAGTTGTGCCACGTGTGCTGTGATGTGGAGGGGAACTAGAGACCAAATGCCAAATCATCAACAAGTGGTGAGAGTTGGCAGAGTGTGATCTGTCATCCAGGTCACCCTCGATCCTTTGCACCCTCTCTCTCTCTCTTTCTCTCTCCTCTTCTTATATTTCATGACCCTATTAATACCCCTTCTATTTGTCACTCTCCCCCTCTCTCCCCCCTAAAAAATCTAAAATACTATGGCCTTTAGGTAATTGCCCACAACAAATAGTAAAGAGAATTCATCATTGAATTCTAAAAATATTATTCGAACCAAAATTTGTTCCGAGGGCGCTGCGTCCTTGGACCCCCGACATATATATCTTATAAGTTTGCCCCTCTAAAAATTTGGGCTGGTTCCGCCCCTGTTAATACACGTTATATTTATCACTCTTGCTTGATTGAACTACATTAATCTCTCTTTCTCTCTCTCTCTTTCTCTCTCTCTCTTCTTGTATTAATTTCATGACCCTATTAATACCCTTTCTATTTGTCACTCTTGCTTAATTGTACTAATCTCTCTCTCTCTCTCTCTCTCTCTCTCTCTCTCTCCCCCCCCTCCCTTCATGTATTTCATGCCCCTATTAATACCACTTCTATTTATCACTCTTTCTTGATTGAACTACCCTCTCTCTCTCTCTCTCTCTCTTCTTGTATTAATTTCATGACCCTATTAATACCCTTTCTATTTGTCACTCTTGCTTGATTGAACTAATCTCTCTCTCTCTCTCTCTCTCTCTCTCTCTCTCTCTCTCTCTCTCTCTCTCCCTCCCTCCTTGTATTTCATCCCCCTATTAATACCCCTTCTATTTGTCACTCTCTCTCTCTCTCTCTCTCTCTCCTCGTATTTTATGTCCCTATTAATACCCCTTCTATTTGCCACTCTTGCTTAATTGAACTAATCTCTTTTTCTCTCTTCTTTATTTCATGACCCTATTACTATCCCTTCTATTTGTCACTGTTGCTTGATTGAACTAATCTCTCTCTCTCTTCTTGTATTTCATGCCCCTATTAATACCCCTTATATTTGTCACTTTTGCTTGATTGAACTAATCTCTCTCTCTTCATATTATCTTTCTCTCTCTTTCTTCATATTATCTTTTTTTCTCTCTCTCAGTTAAGACAGGAGGCTAGAAAGAGTGGTTATAGTGAAGGAGGCTATGAGTATCTTGAGCATGGTGGAGGCAAAGCTGCCTCCGGGATTCCGATTTCATCCGAGGGACGACGAGCTGATTTGCGAATACTTGAGCCGGCGAGCCTCCGCGGCCGCCGACGGTGCAGAATTCTATGGCTTTCCGGCTATGGTCGACGTCGACCTCAACAGGTGTGAGCCATGGGACCTGCCTGGTGAGCCTTCTGTGCACCTTATCTCTCTCTCTCTACCTACCTTCATCCTTTAATATTTGGTGTAAAGAAATTTAAATTTCTATATTCGCTTAATTATATGCTAATTTGAATCTAGATTTTTTCTGCAATAATCTAAGTTCTTAATTTCTTCTTTTGATCCATAAAGGTTGATATATTTTTCTTAATAGCAAAGTTCTGATTTGGTCCAAAACAATTAAGTTATTTTCACTTTTGTACAACTTAATTTTTTAATTTTATCACAAAATTCTTATCTGTTTACCATTTTAATCCAAATTTTATTTATTTATATAATATTTTGATGTTTAGATCATTTCAAATATATATATATATATATATATGATATAATTTATTAGCTGTGATATTTTTTATATAATTTAAAATTATAAAGTTATAAGTTTAAATAACACAATTTCTTAAAGGAAAATTATAAGTTTAAATAAATATAAAAATTTAAATCGTAAATATATAAATAGATAACATTTGTATGAAATATATGCGAATTCCATCTTATATTAAAATATATAAAAATGTATTTACATTTCAAATAAATGAATTTAAATATAAATAAAAAAATTAAAAATTTTTAAAGAACAGAAAAAATTGTCAAATTAATTGAGATCTTTGCACAAATATTTTGATTTCGTTTGTAACAGTTTTCTTTTTACTGTTTTTTAAAATAATTCTTTTAATAAAAAACTTTTAATTAAAAAAAAATCTCTATCCCAAAAAAACCCTTGATAAGATTGAAGAATTTCTGCTACAGCCATTGATGGAGTAGTTGATCTGTAAAAAAAGATCTCTGAAGTCAAAGAAAAACAAAATGATTGACAAGCTGCTAATCTGTAGTAGCTTTCAACCTATTTTCATGACTGGTTTGCTCTGAAATCAACTTGGATGATGTAGACTAATTGGATGATATAATTAACGATAGGGGTGTCAAAAGTTGGCCTGTTCTGGACCCGACCTAAAAAAATATGGGTTCAGGTCAACCCATTTGTGAAACAGGTCGGATCAGGGTTCAAATTTCTGACCCGTTTTGGGTTCGGATTGACTTGACAATCGGAAGTCAACCCGGATTGACCCCATTAATCTTCCCACGTGTCGTCGCATCAAAGGTTGCCACGTCGGATCACGTCCGTGTCGGGTCACGTCCGCCGGTTCGCGTCAGGCATAAGCATGTCGCTGCGGCGCCCCCGTCGGTCCCTCACAGCCGTACACGCGTCTGGGTCTTCCTCGAGAGGGCGAGATTCCACTGCTGTTGTCCATCCCGTACGCCGCACTTGCTATCGGTGGCTTGCTTTCAATGCCTCCGCTCTGCTAGACTCGGTGGATCCGCTCAGCTCCGCAACTATTTGTGGGCCGGGTCGTGTCATACCCGCACGGGTCGGGTCCGGGTTGACAAACCAGACCAGTTTGCAAAATTAGGTCGGGTTAGGATCAACCTATTTACGATCGGGTCAAGTCGGGTTCGAGGTCGAAACTGTTGACCCAAATTGACACCCTTAATTAGCTATGCTAATCTAGTCGTCCCCATCCTTAATCAATAATCATGTAATTAGTGATGCTAATCCAGAATAAAAGAAAATTTTTCTGTATTTATGTAGCTAATATTTATATGAATATTATTCATTGGATATCAGAGACAGCCTGTGTAAGGGGGAAGGAGTGGTACTTCTTCAGTCTCAAGGACAAGAAGTATTCCACTGGGCAACGAACGAATAGAGCAACAGCTTCAGGCTACTGGAAGGCAACGGGGAAGGATCGACAGGTTATACGTAAGGGAGAGCTTGTTGGCTTGAGAAAGACCTTGGTGTTCTACCATGGGAGAGCTCCCAAGGGGAAGAAGACACAGTGGGTGATGCACGAGTTCAGAATGGTATCGTCCAGAGCTTCTGATTCTCCCAACTTCTCCTTCAAGGTAAGGTTTTGAGGTCAGATTATGAGCAGAAATGGCTGTCAGTACACTCATTCTTTCGTTTTTCTTCAGGAGGATTGGGTTCTCTGCAGAGTCTTTTATAAGAGGAGACCTCTCTGTCCAAGAATAAGCTCTGAGACTTGCGAGGAAGAAGAGACTGGTTCCTCTTCTCTTCCACCTCTGACAGAATCTCATATTACAAGTTGTAATCTTGTTCCTCTCAATAACCTTGAGGGACTTGAGCAGGTGCCCTGCTTCTCCAGCTTTTCTACAAGCCAAGAAAGTCCTGGTCTTCTCTCTTCTTCATCCTTCAACAGTACTGTTTCTTGTGATGCGAAAGACTTGAAGGCAATGCTGAGCCAACTCAGTAAGATTGAAGAGAACCAACAGATTAATGAAAGCTGCTTTTCTGAAAGTGAAATTCGCACATTGTGGAATCCATTTGCTAGTTTTTTGATGTAATTTTATGAAAATATGTGCGTTGGAAGGGAGCTTTGTGATGGAGTGGAGATTGTGAACTTATATGTCATTGTCTGAGTGTATAGTATGTTTTGTAGTAAATTGAAGGTTGTTTTTAGTAGATATTAAGCATTTAGGAGTTTGATGTATATAGAGTTATGAGATTGGGATGTGTGTAAGAGATATGAAAAGTGTTGGTTGGTGCTTTTTGAATCACTATAGGAAAAATTGATATTTTCGGCGGACAAAAGTCATAGCAAATGAGCATTTTTCGTCGGAAATATTTATTTTATGGCGGACATTCATATAACATTAAAGATTGTCCTGAATTTATAAATGAAAATTCAAAGGATGAGTATGGGATATTAACTCATATCTTAACATTAATTTATGATTTCAAATAGCAATCCTTCTAAATATACACTCAAACTATAGTAGCAAAAAACTCTAGGAGAGTTATTGGAAATTTCTAAATGTACTTTGATAACTACAAACTAGCTACTTTTTTATTTTACAAAAAGCATTTCTGAGCGGACACCGGACAGTCCGGAGGTCTGTCAGAACGCACCACGTCACCTAGTACCCAGCAGTACCCAACACCGATACCGAGCAAAAAAGTGACGTTGTGCTTTCTGGTTTGCCTCCGGATAGCGTATGGTGTTCGCACAGAATAATTCAATCAAATCATTCAATTAGATAAACTCCCTTCATCATTAACAACAAAACATGTAAATCTACATGAATCAAAACAAACAAAAGGCCTCCACTATTAGGTTAAAATGTTGAATAAGTTAGCATTCAAAATCCTACTTACCTCTTAAATTAAGAAGCCATGATTGGAAAGCAACTCTCTACCAACTTCCATTTCCTTCTCATACAACAACAGTCACAATGACATTCATAACATTTTGTTATCAAAACAAATCACAATTTCAACTGCCCTATTAGAAAAAAAAAAAGAAAAAGAAATCAATATGCCTATTTCTTTTCTATGATGATGTGCTCACATGCCTTCACCACATAGATACAATATATAATTCATTAGCCTTTTCTTTGGAGTGTCTACTTTAATAATTTTGCATTCTCACTCTTCTTTAAAGCTTACATATTTGTAATAACATTTGATTGCCTTTAATTTGTATTTTATCCAAATATATCCTCCTATTCAAGCACCATAGTTAGCTAAATACATAAAATATCGAACTTAGGCTTCATTTGGTACAACTTTCTTACTGCTTTATAAGGCTTCATTCAGGACGGCTTTCTTACTGTTTCATAAAGCAGCTTTTTAATACAAAAGTTTTACTTTTTGTACTAATAAATTGATTTAAGAAGCAGTAAAAAAGTCATCTCAAATGAATCCTAAAGCAACTTTTTAATATAAAAACTTCTAGTTCAATAAACTTTTGTACTAGATATTTGCTTTAAAAAGCAGTAAGAAAGCTGTCCAAAACAAAACCTTAATTTTAGCATAGTAATAATAAAATAGCTCAACTAATCTACTTCATAATTCAGCCAAGTTCAAATTTTTTTATGAATTAGTTTAAGATTATTAAGCACCTTTATACCAAACATTTTTGTTGTTTTACAACAAAACCAAATCTTTTAGCTATATTTCAAATAGAGGGATGAAGGACTCATATAAAAACTTGCAATGTAATTTTAAAACTTAATATGTTTAGGGTTAATTAGCCTAATAGCCAATTATTTTCTATTAAGAAATGTTGTATGTCCGCCGACATAAGTTTTGATGAACCTGAAGGCTTGTTTGGGACGGCTTTCTTACTGCTTCTTAAAGCCTCTTTAGAAAGCTACTTTATGAAACAGTAAAAAAGCCGTCCCAAGCGAACAATAAATTGTATTTGCGAGCTCTTGATATCATTAGGTTTGTATCATCGAGAGATTCATTTTGATTATAAATTTGTTGAAAATAAAATTTAGATAATCTTGAAATCATTATTAAAGTTTCTGATTTAAATACTTCGACGTTTTATGATAAAAACAAATGCACTGAGAATTATGCAAATACTCTAAGGTATGCATATGAATATATACTTAAAAAAACAATAATAATAATAATACTTCAATGCAACCGCCTTTTCACATCAAATTGAAGAAGATAGATATGATCAACATGTTACACATGCTTTGTTTGGGATAGCTTTTTTCCGCTCCCTAAAATAGTTTTTTTAGTACAAAAAATTCTAATTTAAAATTTTTTTGTACTAAAAATCTACTTTAAAAAGCAGGAAGAAAGTTGTACCAAATGAAGCTAAAGTGGATACAAACATATAGCACAACTTAGACATAAGAAACAAGAATAAAGGCAATTAATAAAGATTAAATGGATCTAACTGATCCTAATCTGAAACTTTACTGTACAAAGTGAAAACTGAAAGAGCATTAAGGATCATAAGCAGCAAAGCGCCAATGAAGGAGGAAAGAATGGCCAGACCGCCATGGATGCAGAACTGGCCAAAATGGCTGCAAATTGGACTCCATCTTGCGTTCAAATTGCCATCTTTGCCGAGCTCTGCTATGGAAGTAGCAGCAGCTGCGCCAGTCGCCAACAGAGCAAACATAGCCTGTTCAAAAGATATTAATCTTCTCATTCTTCCATTTTCTTTCTTATTCCATAAGATAGCCCTAAACAATTTCTCACAAAAGAAATACTATTAAATTTGAACTGATCGTACAGTACGATTGAAGTTGTATAATACGACCGTCAGTGCTCAGATATCTTGGGACTTTGACTTGGATTTAGAATTTGTTTGGGATAGCTTTTTGACCGCTATGCTTTTCAGACAACAACTATAATTTCATTTTGCTACTATTTTTTTACTGCAAAGCTAATTTCTGCAACCATAGTAGCGAAATTCTTTTCTCGATAATAACTTTACAATCAACTTTATAAAACGTTGTAGCCGTCCTATACAAATCCTTATTTTCTTGCATTTGCTTTGCTTGCATATTTATTAAAGTGTTTGACATTAATTATTCATGCTTAATGATATAAGAATGCAATTGCTTCATTTAAAAATAATAACATTGTTACTAAGGGCATCTCCAACCGAGAATCTCATTTTTCACTCCAAAATACAGCGAAACCAAAAAGGCCGTGTTTCATCTACAATCGAACTCCATTTTGCCGCTTAACCGTCGCTTTGGCGCCTTTCTTCCGGTTCGGTAGAGAGAAAAAAAATGGCGGAGATGAACAGTGCAACGCCAATATTGGCGTCACACTGTTCATCCGCGATCAAATGGCGGCAAAAATGACGATCGGTTGGAGCAAAGCCAGAACGGCAAACAAGTGTTTGCCGTTCGGTTGGAGATGCCCTAAGAACTTAACTTTAAGAAAGAATTAAGTAGGATTTTGGTTTTGTTATTATGCTTATAATTATTAATAAAATATTGGCTAATCTTGTGTACTTGTGTAAAGATGTTTGCTAATTATTTATTTTTTAATCCAGCTCATCCACTAAGTAAATGAGTTGATTATATATATAAATAAAAATAATTCATTTTATTTGTATATTTTACGGCTTAAATTCACCGGATATATCGAGGTTTTAAAAATCGAAGTGAATATAGTCATTTGATCAAAATCAAAAGGTCGGAAATTGATCTATACTCGAACCGGTCGGGTTCCAATTGATTCAGATGGGTTCTCTAAGAAATGAAATATTTTACATTTTATCGATCTTAAAAAGGATAGTATACTAAAAGAAAATCACAACTATTAATTCATGCAATTAGGATCATTAATTAAAAAATTAATGATTTAATTAATGATCATTGATTGAGCTTGTTCTATGTATTTTCAATTTTGCTTGATAAAAAATAAATAGAACAAAAATAATATTTTTCAGTTTATTAATAAATTGAGCTCATTTGTTTTATCTCAAAGGTTAACAAACTGAGCTAGACAAATAAATTATCAGCTCACATCTTGTGTGCCAATTAAATCTCTCTCTCTCTCTCTCTCTTAAATAAGTAAGTATTTTTAGCATTTCATTGGGAGCAAGCTATAATTGTTGTGGAGAAGGAGAAATTATGATGGGCGGAATCCGGATGTAAAGAATCGTTCAGTTTTATAACTGTAAACAGCAAAAGAGTAATGAAGCACAGTAAAAGCGCAGCGGTGAAAAGTAACTGCGCTTTTACTATTCACAATCATAAAACTGAATGATTCTCTACGTCTGGACTCTGCACATAATATTCTCTCGTGGAGAAAGAAGGGGGGTAGAGATTTCTTACCAAGTCCATGAGGTTCACTGCAACATGAAAGGCCTTCCAATTATTGAAATAAGGCCTAAGAATAAGCACCACCAAGTTGTAGAAACCAACTATTGCATTAGCTATCACAAAGAACCTGCAACATTAAACACTAAACAAAATAAATACTAAAATTTTGGCAAATAAAAGACTTGTGGAACCAGATGGGCCCACATGTAACATAGGCTATTATAGCATATCATTTCTTCTAAAATTATGATTACTAGCACACATTTTCACTCTCATCCTTTTTCACCTAGTCTTGTGAGTCATTTTCGACTCGCGCGCACACACGCTAGCTCACTCAATCACTCATCAAACTTGCGATGATATGTCCCATCACGAGGAATTATTACATGCGGTCGCTAAACGGTCCAGAGACGAATCAGGAAGCGCTACATCACTCCAGCATACAATGGTATACAACACCAGAACACAACAAATGGTGATGTGGTGAGTCCCGATTCGCCTCTAGAAACATCCGGTGACCGCACGTAATAATTTCTCCATCACAAGTGGTTTGTATTCCATTAGTAGTACATGAGGAAGAGCATATGGTTGGAAGCTCACACAAAAGCAGGAGTTTGCTGAAACTTTGTTGTGTAAGTTTGGTAAATAGTAGTGGTTCCCACTACGGCCACTGCCTTGCTTATTGATTGCTTGTTGCATCCCATCATAAGTGCTGCTATTAAGGTGAACAATACTATTGTCATCCTCAGTAGGAGTAACAGTACATTCATCCATTTACATTTCTTATCTTTCTTTGGCCTTAGCAGCACTGTATCTGCTTTCATGCCATCTTCCATGGCCATTTTTAGAGAGAGAAAGTGAGAGAGAGGAGAGAGGAGAGAGGAGAGAGGAGAGAGGAGAGATAAATGAATGAACTATTTGGAGCAAATATATAAGAACAGTCATGCAAGGTGAAGTCCAAGAAACTAAAGGAATTTCTTGTGATGGCTGATTTCTCCATTTCTAACCTACTTATTCAGGCACATAACAGAAGTTATTACAGATATGAAGCAAGAGTAGCAGATGAATGGCCTCATGAAGAAACTTCTCAATCAAACAATTGGAAGAAAACTAATTTCAATACAATTCTCTGTTACCATTTCAGTTTCCCTTTCAATTCCTTCAAACCAAACAAAGCCATAGAGATGCACAAAAGCATAGGAAATGAAGAAATTGTTGTCCAACTAACAAGCAAAAGCTCAATTTCTTTATAAATCTGTAAAGATTGAAAATTACACTCTGGCTGGTAAAGTGATAGAAGATCTAACGGCAAAAATCTGTCTAAATCTTCAAATACACCAATGTACAAAGCACAGTAAATATAAAACCAACATGTATAATTGAATAAAGTCAAATCCTGAACCCAAAACAAATATTCATCTCTGATACTTTGAAATTCGTGCAAAGAAACACCTGGGCACTTCAACCCAAACCTTGTACATTAACAAAAGGCAAGGCTTCCAAACTCAACAATTTTTTTTTTCCTGTAAATGATCAACAAATCCTCATATTCTTCACTGTACACAGTCGTTTGGACAACAAAGGCATCGCATTATATTCACCAATATTAATTAAGTTACAATTTACAACAGAAGAAGCTGTGGATCATTCATTGGCAATTCTGCAATGTCACTTCTTATCAGTGGTAACTCCAACGACAACATTACTCACCTAAAGTGAAAAGAGAGAATGGTGATGAGATTATATGAACAAAATAAATTGGAGCTAAGTATATAATCACAGTGAACATGTTCAAACATTACCAATTTGCCATTTTCATTCACTGACATTGGGTTCTCAACAACAACAGTCACATTATTACTTGGCTTGCGAGTCTGCAAAGTGCCGTAGAGAGGTTAAAAGAATCATCACAGAAGGGGGATTTACATACATAACACTTGATTCCATTCTATTTATATATTTAACACTTAAAACTTCTTATTTACTCACATATCGTGCAATTCTTTAAATGACTTCAGAAGTGCCACTCTCTTATCCTCCCCGTTAAGTTCCCATCATAGAGCAAAAGGCGGATGCAACAAAGAGGCAAGTAACTACTAGAGATGAAGCGCGCGCATTGAAGTAGGCCCCGTGTGCAAGCAATATGGGCATGGTTGGGAGGTCATGAAGCGGACGCAAGCAACAGTTGTTGGTGCGCAACAGAGCAGGTCGAGTGTACAGGAATGCACACTGTGGCAACTGCTAGAGGTGGAGCCTGTTCGAAGACTTTGGGGCAGGAAGTAAACAAAGGGTGGAAGTTGAGTAAATAAGAAGTTTTAGTTGTTAAATATGTAATAATGTAAATATATTTATTATTTATGTTTGTAAATCCCCCAAAGAAATAATATGAACTTGTCGATGTTTTATTAAAGAATCAATGGAAATGAACCGACAGCAGAAATGGAAACTGGTGCGGTTGTGGGGGGTATGGGAGTTGAAGGTCTAGTGTTACTCATCTGCAGGAAATATTGGAAAAATCAAACATTTAAATGAATAAATAAATAAAGCAGTAGGATACATAATTAAAGATGGTAATTGAAATGAGCTTGATACAGATAATTATATACAGCATACCCCAACATTAGTAACATAGCGGCATACTGCACATTTGACAGATGGAGCTCCATAAGGATACATTAGAGTTGTCCGGCAATGACCACAACTCAACTGTGCAACCTGGTTTGCTATTTACATGTAAAAACCAATTTTAGTATTTGATTTTAAAGACTAAAAGCAAATGGTTTTGTAGCTATGTGTGTTTCTTGAGAGATTTTTTTTTTTAATAAGAGAAAAATTATCAGATAAGAGTTCTGAAAAAATAAATAAAGAATATTAGATATAAATCTGATTTATAAGCTTGATTCATGGATGCCTCGTCTCAAATAAACATGTCGCCAACATCAGTCATATTACCTGGCTATTATTGCCTTTGCAATTTTATAAAGAATTTGAAATAATATCAAATACTTCGTGGCCAATGCTTTTATGTAATTAGAGTAGAAAGAATTTGATTTCGAGCGGATCCAATCAGTAGTATATCATACAAAGCGATCTGCACCCAAATTTCGCCAAGGCCGAGTACTCGCCAAGCCCGAGTACAACTTGCTGAACAGCACGGACCAGTTCAAGGCTAGTCGATAAAGAGAGAAGAATCAATAATGGAAGTCACAAGAAACATGATGAAGTTGTCATCAAGATCAAGTAATTCAAAGCTGTCTATTTGATCATACTCAAACCAAATACTACACAAAACCGTTCAAGCTGCGCAAGTCGCCAAAGTTACTTGCCCAATTTACCAAGGCTATTTGCCAAAGGATTTAGAGCTACTCACCAAAACTCAGAAAGCTTAACTGAAGACAACAGGTGACTCCATGTAAATTCACCTCTTGTTTAGAAATCAGCATACGTCCTCTAGGTAAATCATAGCTATAAACAAGCTAAGTTCATTCATTTTACAGCAAATTATTAGTTAACTAGACAACTTTTCTTGTATTGCTTAAATATAGCCTTCTTGGTACATTGTGCCTCAACCCAAGAATATGAATAGGTCTAAGAAACGAGTCAAAAATATCAAAGTTTTATACTTCTAACAATCTAGAGAAATACCAAACTTAACATTTTAAATTCCCTTTGCCTCCTTTTTTTTCTCTTATTTTATAATTATTCTTGTCAATGGGTCTTCGAGGTATCTATTTAAAATGCACAGTATTTCCCCGCATGCATGATGACACATATACGAGTGCTTAAGATTGTCCCCACCACACTAAAAAAAGTTTGTACAGGATCTACCTGCCTTGCCGCAAGCTTCGCACCGGATTCCCTTCCACCACGCTAAGAAAAACATGTATATGTGATTTTTCAGTGCGTCGGGAATGCCGAAAATGGGAATATTGGAGCTTTTTGTGTTAGGAGACATTTATACCTTTGTGAGCGATAGAGATAGTGTTGAGGCGACAATGATGTCGAGGAAAACATGCAAAAAAATCGAGACACGAAATTTTTTTTTTCTTTTCCTCTCTTTTTTTTTTTCTTTTTTATACTATATTACGCGTGCGTGCGTGCGTACGTGCGTGCGTACGTGCGTGCGTGGGTGTGTGTGTTCTTAACTGGGTCATCCGAAGGCCAATGTGACCAAACCATCTAAGGCAACTCTCTCTAATCTTATCTTCCACTGGAGCTACTCCAACCTTTTCACGTATATGCTCATTTCATATCCTATCTCTAAGAGTAAAGCCACTCATCTACCTGAGCATCCTTATCTCTGCAACACTTAACTTAATATTATACTTCTCTTTTAATGGCCAACATTCTGCTCTCTTTTAATGGCCAACATTCTGCACCATAAGTATTGCATATCTAACCACAATCTTATAGAATTTTTCCTTAAGTTTGAGGGGGGCTTTTCTATCACATAACAAGCCCAATGCATTCCTCCACTTCAACCATCAAACTTGAAGTCCACTAATAATATCCCCATGATCTATTTCACCATCACTCTTAACATGATCTATTTCATCATCATTCTGAACAATATACCCAAGATATCTAAAACATGTACTTTTAATAATGACTTGATCACCCAAAGTTATAATTGTCCCACAAGAACTATTATTACTAAAATTACATGCCATATATTCAGTTTTAGATCTACTCAAACGAAAGCTTTTAGACTCTAAGGTTGACCTCCATAATTCAAGTTTATCTTCAACTTTATCTCTAGTCTTATCAATAAGAAGAATATCATTAGCAAAAAACATACACTAGGGTACAACCTCTTGCAAATGTCGAATGAGAACATCCGTGACTAAAGCAAAAAGATATGGGCTTAAGGCTGATCATTGGTGTAATCCAACTGAAATAGGAAAAACTTGATCAAACCACCTTGTGTTTGAACACAGGTAGCAGCTCCTGCATACATATACTTAATGACTTGAATATAAACATTATTAACCCCTTTCTTTTCTAGAACTTTTCATAGCACTTTTTTTCCAACTTTATCGTATGCTTTCTCTAAATCAATAAATATCATACATAGATCCTCCTTATTCTCTCTATGCTTCTCCATCAAACCTCTCAATAAATGTATAGCTTCCATAGTTTTAAAGTATGACACATTAACTTAATTCCTCTATAATTTGCACAATCATGTGCATCACCTACCAATCATGGCAAATAGTAGAGAATGCATATGAAGAGATGAAAATATGTGATGATTACCTATCATATGAGAAGATGCATTAAAATCTAAAACTCATTATGTACTAAAAGATAGCAATACCTAAAAAGACAACATAAGAGGCGGAGTGATATTTGTGATTTCTAGAGTGTGTTATAATATTCCTAAGAAATAGAAACCAATCTGAAAGAGTAAGCACCAAGAGAGGTAGTTAGAGTCAAATCGGATGTGAAAGAATGTTTTGCAGTGGAGGGACGATCAAATTTGTCCCAGCTACATTCAAGAGGATGATTAGTAAGGTAACAATGACGGCAAGTAGAAAAATATTCCAACTATGGACACTATTGCCACGACTACCCCTATCTCTTCTAAAGAAAACTGTCTAAACCAGATTGATTAAGAGGTGAGGATTAAGGGGTGACAACATAGTGACACAAAGAACCTAAGAGATATCGACATGGAGCAGCTAATAACTAAGATTACATACCTTGCAGGAAAGAGTGAAGTCCGGAGATAGATTTGGCAATAATAAATTCTTCTCTTTACTTTTGACAAACAATCTGAATGATCTTAAAGTAACTCATCCTATTTGCCGAGCAAAGTGTTCTAATACTTATGGATCTGTGTCTCACATTTTTATAGTAAAGATTGTGAATATAAAAAATACTTCTGATGTGAAACATATGCATGGAAACAAGAACTGCTTGGGGGATTTTAATATAAGATTATTAAAACTTTGCTAATTATAAATTTAGTGCTTACCCAAATTAGGTTCTCGGAGTTATCAATTAGAGACTAAGCAAGGCTTGTAGTTACAAGTAGATTAACGGGACAATATCAAATTAACAACATATAAATAGAGAGTAATGTTATGGCAAGAAACAATAATCCACGGTTAACAAATAGAACTCTTCACCTTGGGTCACTCACTCACGCTCCTAACGGTGGGCTTTAACGAAGGAAGATAGAGAGCAAACCAAGCAACGCCACTAGGGGACAAATGGTGCCCAAGGTATAGTCCGTTGGAGAAGTAGCCGGTGGCGGGGAATCCACGGGATGGCTAGGGAGTATCCAATGTCCAAGACGAATATGCTCCTCGATGGAAGGTACTAACGTAAAAGGATGCGCTTCAAGTAATCCTCCACAGAAGAGTCCACGTCTAGGTTCACATCGAGGAACGGGTAGTCATCGGGTGATCTTCCACTCTTCAAGAGACTTTTGTTCGTCGATGAATTCCGCTAAGTGGGGAAGGAGTTAATCCCAATTGGACAGCAGTTGGGAGGCCTTCTTGGACCACTTCCTTGCTGATTTTGACGTTCCTGGACTGGTGGCAGCAGCCAGTGATTCTCCAATCAACTGGACAGCAGCTAGGAGGTCTCCCGGGATAGCTTTGTTGCTGATTTGAGCACTCTTGGACAGAGGACAGCAATCTGGAACTTTCCCAAACATTGGACAGCAGGTGGAAATGCAAGAAAACTCTGTAACAGCTTTTAGAATTCTCTGGACAGAAAAATAACTCCAGCAGGGCTTCTACTTTCAACAGTCACGGGAAGGGTTTGGAAGAGTAACCAGTGAAGGAGGGGGATGGAATGATCGGCTAGAGTAGGGAGGGGCGGCACAACTTTGGGCCAGATTTTGGGATTCAGTGGGTAGGATACCAAGGAGGGAAAACATGAAATATGTTTCGGAATTTTGAGTTGGGAATTTGGAAGGGATTTGAATTTCAAATACCTAGTAATTAAGGACAATAAAGAGGTAGCTGATTTGGGGGGAAGATTGGGTTTGATTTGGAAGCAAATAATTAAGCAAAAGAGGGGAAGAGGGGCCGGCCATATGGGGGAAATGATTAGGTGTCTAGGTTCAACGTATGGGGGCCCACGGATTCAAGTAAGGATTTAGATCAAATATGATTTTTAATTTCAGATTTCATTGATTGAGGGAGTTTCCTAATCGGGGTTGATTAATAAAGAATGTATTTGAAATTCAAATATTTATTTGAATTCAAAACAAACCTTTCCATATTAATAGCACATTAAATTAGGAAAGTAATTATGGTGAGTTTGACTTTTGAAATTCAAACGAAGAACAAGAGGGCCTGCGGGTGGAGATCCATGGGGTAGTGGCTAGGCTGATTTCGGTGGAGGGGGAAGAGAGGGGAAGGGTGGCCGGCGGTTGGGTTGGAGGAGGCCGGCGGCTTGGGCGTCCCAAGGAGGCCGGCGACAAAAGAGATGGGGCTCGGTGAGCTGAAACTGGCGGCTTGCATGTGGGGATTCTGACGGCTAGGGGAGAAGGGAAGAATTAGAAGAAGAAGAAGATAGGAACCAAGAGCTCCACCAAGGGGCTGTTGGGTATTGCTTTGAGCCTCTCCCAGGCTAATCCTCACTCGAGAACTCACAAAGAGAACTCTAGAACTCACAAAGAGATCCAAACCAAAGTTGAAATTTCACATCAATATTCATCATCCCATACAATGCATGAGGTCTCCTATAAATAGGCCAAAATGAAACAAAACTAAAAGACATAAATGCCTCCGGGGCTACAATATCAAATGACCACACATAAGGGTAAAATAGTAAAACTGAAAAATAAAATAAACTACTACATAAAATGACTCAAAATAAGACTCCTGATCGTGGCCGTCGATCTCCGGCGTCTCTGATGGTATACGTGTCGAAATCGCTGACGATGTCCTCATCAACTTCCCTCTTCAGAGTAGGTAGAATTAACAAAGTCCCACTAGGTGGAATTAAAAAAAGTTCCACATCTTAGATGAATCTTGAAATATAACTGAAAAGGCAATTAAAGGCTCAAGACTATTAAGTAACGAAGTAAAATAAAATCTTAATGGTATCATTACTATATAATGAGATGTATCAATATGGAGTTATTGTTAAAACTGACAAGAAAAAGAAGGCCTCAACCATAATATATTGTTGGCACTTGGCATAACAAATTTTGATGGAGTTACTAGTTAGAGGGTTTTCACATTAAACGGAGGCCTTCCGATGACCCGGTTAGAAAAGTTGAGGTATTAGATTCGGCTTATGTTAATTAAGGTAGAGGTAGACCTAAAAAAACTTGGTTATAAAATATTAGAAAAGATTTTCTTTATTAGATTTAAATGAGAATTTGAATTTTAACCGAACACAATGGCGAAAAAGGATTCATGTAGCCGACCCCACATAGTGGGACAAAGGTTGTACTAGTTAGAGGGTTTCATCTAAGTAAGAGGAAAGAAAAGCCCATTACACTATGAGAAGAGGCATAAAAAACCTGAAAGAAAATCAAATCATAGAGATGAATGAAATCTGGAAGTTCAAGCCCCAAGAAAGAGGGGACCTATTCATGCAACAAAGGCGAGCTATAAGATTAGGTGTAGGCATTGGCTAGGGCACAAGTTAGATGAGGATCCGACAGCAAGCAATGGAAAGAAGGCCTGGGAGAGCGAGAAAGTAAAAAGGCGAATGAACGCCAACAGACAAGCATGCTAGGTAGTTGAGCACGACAAACGGGTAGGAGCATGGGAACAACGAGCAGGCTGGTGGATGGAGCGAGATAGGAAAAGGCATACATGCTGGACCATTAACCTGCTAGAAAAGGAAAATGACATGAGAAAGAGGTGGAGGGATGCCGGCTAGGGCTTAGTTGTGCTCTAATATCAAGTTAAGGAGGAATAATTTATTGTGTCATATTGACTAAATATCAGCACTTATAAAAAAAAGCATAAATGAATAATACCAAAAAAGAAAATTGTAGAATCAACATATTTATGCAATTATAAAAGTATGTCACCACAATAAGATATTCTCTAAAATATAGACTTTTTCTAATTATACTTCTTAATATACCTACAAATAGGAAAAAAACAAAAGATCAAAATTGCCATTGATCATTCAAGATAACATTACATTATTATTGCAACATTTAGCAAAACATATTTGATTTGATTGATAACATCATTAATTGAAAAACATTGATATCTAGATAGCAGTGTTACCTGGATAATCTTGAGCCAAACAACGCTTAATTGTCACATGGACAACAAATGGAAGATTAATGATTTCATTGTGAAAATTATAAATAAAATTTAAGCACTTTCCCCTAGTTTTTCTTGGAGAACACAGGAAAAAAATGGCCTCAAAATGAACACATTATCAGGCGAATACCAAGAAACACTTTCATGCAAACTTCCTCGAACTAGAAATTGCCAAAGAACTGTCAACGCCGCACTTATTTTCATACAAATATCTAGCATCGAATACCAATCCAACAGCTATTGCACCGTTTGATTATTAAAATAAATAAAAATACCTGCTCTTGCGACATTTATTGTGTTGCAGCAGGAACACCTCACAGTAGATGCACCACGAGCATACATCAACAAAATTTGACACCCACCACATATTATCTGAGCCATATCTGTCCATTCAAAATTTTTGAGGAAGCATATAAGTAGTTAAACTCCTTATCCATTTAAAAATTTGCTGAAAGGAGGAGAATATTGTTCTTGTTCCTTATAAAGTAAAGCAAACATAAAACATAAAATAGTTAAAATTGATAGAAACTGAAGCCCTAACAGGCTCAAATTGATAGGAATACAGAATCTACAAAGCCATATGCTTAGCATTCATGTAAAACAGACCCTGGGAAAGAGTATTCCTTGCATGTAGAAAATATTTGATTCACGTCTACAAAGAAAGATTTGACCTAAACAAACATAAGAATAGGTAGTGGTAGTGTGCATCAAAATGCTGCATCGAGAAATTGTTTATTTTCGTCAGCCATTCAGTGTTATCATTGTGAATAAACATTGCAGTATGTCAACAGAGCTTAATTTGATAGAATAAAAGTAATAGCTTTAATCCATCATAAAGCAAACTCCAAATAGTTGGGATAAGGCTACTGGTGCATATAAATAAAGAACAGAGACAAATATAAGGGACAATAAACTAAGTGCAGCAGGAAAGCAAACCTCCATTTTTCTCAAGAAGCATTCCAATTTGAAAATATTCAAGGAAAAACTGATGATTCTAATGAAACTAGGATCTAAATATTGCTGTAAGTGTGTGTGCACGTTACAAGAGTGGAAGCACTTACCTTGTATTGTTAAGGCTATGTCTAAATTCTACACTCAAACCTCTCATAATTGTGGGGAAAAGAATAACAATATCAACCCCAGGTAGATCTTGTATCAAAGAAAGAGTCATGCAATCATTACACTTTTTACTTTTTTTTTTCACTGAATCAGACTTTAAGAAAGCTCAGAATTATAAATCTTTATATTCGTAAAGTAGGTTTGGATATATTTTCAAAAATAAAATTTTAGAATGACTTAGAGAATAAATACAAAGGATACCTCTTGAAGAAAGTTTTTATTTGAGCAGATTTAAATGGACATATTGGTAGAGTGATAAAAGATTTTAAAAATGTTCATAGTGGCTATAAGTTTAGAGCGACTAAGGAAAGTGATAGGGTCATAATAGAATTTTCTCTTGCTTCTGATTTTGTAATTTCTAATACCTTATTTAAGAAAAAAAATGAGCATCTCATCACTTATAAGAATGGACATAATAAAACTCAAATTGAATATTTTCTTATAAAAACATAAATCGTTTATATTGTAAAGAATATAAAGTCAAACTAAATGAAAGCTTATTTACCCAACATCGCTTATAGTTTTTTAGATTTTAAGATGAAGCGATGAAATATGAAAAATAAAATAAAATATTATCCTAATGATTAGATGGGGGAATCTAAAAAATGCAAATAAAAATATTTTGAAATTAATGTTCAAGATCTCAAGTGTTCAGTTGTGTATGAGGAAGCTAATGTTATATGAGAAAAAATAACTAGTGATATTTAAAATATTGCAAAGTATGTGTTTGGAGTATTAAAAATAAAAGCTCTTAATAGTAAAAATATTTATAATGAAATCAAAATGTGTAAAAAAAGATCAATAATTGAAGTTTTATTATTTAGTTTAAATGTAAAAGCTTAGAAAATAGGAAAATATATAAAAGCACCCACATGGAGTCTAAAAAAGAAATTTGTGATGCAAAGAATTTAACTTTTAGTGATTTATATAATATATTAGATACTAAAGAGGGAGACAAATGTATATATAAGTTCGTCAAGCAAAAAAATAAAAGGACCCGGTTAAAGTAAAGTGCATTAAGGATGAAGATCAAAAAGTATTTTTCTTAGAAGAGAATACTCAACATAGGTGAATGAGATATTTTCATAAGTTTTTCAATGAAGCTTGTGAGAATACGATTAACTTTATCTTAGCACCCTACATAAAAATAAAGATTTTTATTTTTATCGTCATATTAGTAAAATTGAAGTTGAAGAGACTTTAAAGAAAATGACCATTAATACTGGCAGGTCTTTGATGATTGTTGCTAGCAAGGAACCATTCTTATAAACAAATTTCTAATATTTGAAATGTCCTCCATATACATAAATTATTCACCAGCATGTTATATCTATTCAATTTCTAAATGTCATGTTATATTTAACACTTCACATTATGTATTTTAGAAAAATTGCACGATCTATCCGGCCATGTGAAATCTAATGGCCAAGGAAGCTCAAAATTTCAAGTTATATCATCCTTTCTAAAATGTTGAAATCTAATAAATAAAGGATAGGGCTCCAACACCTACATCTTAGCTACATTTTCTATTATTCTCAAAACTAGATTTTCCTTATTATTCAGCAATATTAATATTAAAGAATTTTCTTATGATACTTTTGAGTTAAAAAACACAAGCATGCTAATTTTCCAAAGTACCATAATAATCCAAAATCCCTTTTCTCTTACTCATGGTGAAACCTACGGAACATCCTCTACACCTATAATATAAGCTCAGTGCTTTGTGCCTTTTATTGATGAGTGCACTCATGTGACATGAATGTTTCTACTAAAAGACAAAATTATGTCAGTATCATTTTCTCCACCTTTTTTAACATGATCAAAATTAATTCAGTTGAATTTAAGAGAATCAGAACACAATACAAAAGGCTTTTTAAATCCTTCCCTCTTCTCATATTTCCAATAAAAAGAAAAAATACATAAGTCTTCTGTATACACATTTCAATAAAATGGGTGCTAAACAAAAGATCACATACCTGCTACCACGAGCTCATTTTCAAAACAATATTGGGGAAAAGTTTTCTAAATAGTCATTAAAATCATAAAATGATTACCTACTAGGGTCCTTTAGCTCATAAGTCCTACTCAAGTCCTAGTAATATAATTTTCCACTTCAACACCTTAAATAACCTTATTCCCTAAATATTTAGAAGTGTTGCTTTTATCTATACACATCTTCAAAATAGATAAAAACTTAATCCAGGAGCAATTAAATGAATTTTTATTAGCTACTCTTCCCCTCAAAAAGGATATATCCACCCCCCCCCCAAGAGATGTATGTGTTTGTTGATGTCACTTTCAATAAAGATAATTTCTACTTCGATGTGTCTACTAATGTCACTTTCAATACTACTATTCACAAATAATTTTTTTTCTCCAAAATTTCCCTTTCTTACTCCTCAACCCAGCAAACAACTCTACTTCAAAACCAACCATTCCTCTAAAGAACAAACTTATACCAAAATTACCTTCTACTTAACCATTATAAGTTTGCTCTAAGAGGAAGCCATCTCAACCAATCGAATCAATTCCTAGCATGAAAATCACTAAGGAATCACTGAGCCTACAAATAAAGGTAGTTCAACTAAACATCCCTTCACGTATCCTTACTGGTCTTTATACTATCTATATCCCTAAATTTATCTCTGAGACTTTAAATAATAAGTAGAATAATGCTATGAAAGAATTGAAAGGCTCTCAAAAAAACAAAACATCAGAATTGATAACACTATCAAAAGAAGAAGAACTAGTGAGGCATAAATAGGTCTTTAGTATGAAGAAGAAATCTGATGGATTATTAAAATAGTATAAAGCTGGACTAGTGGCAAAAGACCATATTCAAACATAGGGAATTGATCCAATGAAACTTTCGCTCCTATTACTAAAATGAATATTGTTTGAGTTCTTTTATCATTAGCAACTAATAAGGATTGAAAAATATAATAATTCGATGAGCAGAATGCCTTCTTACATGGTGATCTAGAGTAGGAGGTAAGGTATATATAGAGGTCCCACTTGGGTTTGGCTCAAATATAAAACAAGATGTATGCAAACTAAAAGAGACATTATATGGATTGAAGCAATCTCCAAAAGCATGGATTAGGAGATTTGTCAAGATAATTCTCGACATGGTTTACAAATAGTTTCAAGGCATACATACATCATTTGTGAAACAAAACTTCAGGAATTTTGCATTATAAATTTATTTCAATTATATTATCATAATAAATAATAACTTGGAAGGTATGGAGACCTTAAAGAGAGCTTGCTCCAAGAATTTGAAGTCAAAGAATCAGAAAAACTAAAATACTCATTGAGATTACACACCCTCTACATGAAATCTTTATATCACAAATGAAATACATAACAATACTACTAAAAGAAGCAGGCAAGTTGGGATGTAAGCCTATCGAGAGCCCCAAGAAATTAAGTCATAAACTTAGAGATGCTCCAGAAGACACATCTATAAAAGAAAACTCCGATCAAATGTCTGTGAGAAGACTTGCATATTTATCACATACTAAACCTGTCATTTCATATGTTATTAGAATGGTAGATTAAATCATGCACAATCACAGAGAATTGCACCTTAAGAGTTATACAATTATATAATAACTTCAAGTAAGAGAATTTTATTTAAAAGGCATGAGGGTATGACACTTAAAGCATTTGCAAATGTTGATTATATATGATCTACAATTAATAAAAGGCCAACTTAGGTATACTGTACATTTTAAAAGGCAACCTCATGATTTGGAAAAGGAAAAAATGAAATATCAGGGCAAGATCTAGCACAGAAGCCAAATGTAGATTATGGCACTAAAAACTGCGAAGTATTATAACTGAAAAATTATCCTTGAAAATTTAAAAATTGAATGAAAAATTCATATGAGGCCTTATTGTAATAATACTTCAGTCATCAAAATTGCTCATAATCTCATACAACATGAACAAACAATATTAAAGATCACAGATATTTTATAAAAGAGTAGCGAGACAATGGTCTACTTTCTACTCCTTTCGTCACCACAAATGGGCAACTTGCAGTATTTTTCCTAAAGGATTATCATGATTCATGAACAATATTTCAAAAATGGACGTACAAGCTTGGAATGAACAATATCCATTCATTCACTTTTGCGAGAGTGGAAAAATCAATCTCAACCAATTTTGTCTCTATCAACCCCCACTCCTATAATTCATCAAGCATAGCAATCTTTCGCACTCCTTATTCACTTCATGCCACCTCAGTAATATGTGGGAT